GCCGCGTGATCAGATCATGGAGAGCATATGGGGGTTTCCGAAAGTAGGGGACCCTAAGATAGTACCCTAAATAGTAGAATCCTTACTATAAGGACCCCAAAATCAGGTACCCTAATTTTCGGTAAGTCCCATATTCGTACATGATAAGCCCTAAATCACGTGGGGCACAGAATGCACATGCAACGAGGGAAACCTTGGCAGGGACAGTGGAGGACTTTTCCAGGACGCACTGTTCATTTGTCAGCCCGGACCGCTCCCACGTAGATGTCATATCGCAATCCTCCTCAGTCATGTCCATGAGTGGGACACAGCTTGATACTGGCACTGCCTTGATTTTGGAAAGGCTGCTGCTGTGCTGATTGCCGTGTCTTGAAAGGAGTGCTATCCCAACGTGTGCCACCGTGATTGATGCTATGATGGTTGTGTTGACCACAGTGTACACCCGCCTCTCCACTGCTTTGCGTCTAATGTAGGGGCTACTAAATAGTTAGCTATACTATGTTAGGGGTTCCTGATATTATAGTATAATGGGCTTCAAAACCCTATTCCAATTATTGGGCTCTCGTGTTGAGGGCTTTAGCCGATTCGGTTGGCAGTGGTGTTTGAAAGCTAGTTACCCACCAATGCCAACCGTATCAGTTCAAGCACTCAACACAGGAAGTGAATATAGGGATCGGTATAGGTTGGAACAGCTATCCCTCGTAGTCCCTCTAAGCCTCTTCGAAGACATTATAGGGGGGTTTCTCTTAAGACTGTCGGTGCTAAAGCCTCGCGTCAGATGCTGCTTCTGCGCCAGACATTCTGCCTCAAGCCCGTCAGCCCCGAAATAGAATCAAGCTCCTCAATCCTGAAGCTACAAGCCCCAACACCCGTGAAGCCCTAGAGCTTAAAACCCAGAAGCCCTCAAACAGATGCCTGGTTGTCGACGACGAGCTCAACATCCTTCCCTTGTCCCGGCATGCCAAAGCCGGCATCCCATCAATTTCGAGTTCTGTGGAATTTAGGGCTTTAAGGCTTTATGGGCTTCGTGGGATGTCTTTCGGTCTGGCTTCAGAGGCCTTGTAGGACGGGTTCGTCGGATCTTGAAGGGTTCTGCAAGGGTCTCGGGTTGCGGCTTCGGGTTGAGGTGTGTTGAGGGTGTGAAGGGTTTACTGTCCCTGGTGCCAGGGCAACCTCCCTTTATGGCTTTAGGCCTCAGGGCTTGAGTTTCGGAGCCGGGTTTCGGGTTTAGGGTTTCAGGCAACCTCCCTTCATGGCTTAAGGCCGGGCTAGAGTCGGCCAGAGCTGGCGAACAGACCCCCATCGCCACCGCCCGCCCTCAGTAAGGGTTGTTTGCACACGAGGAGATCAACCTCAAGCCTTGACTCTACACCAAAGCCAGGGTTGGTACTTGGGGGTTCATGGGTAGTTATATGTGGGGTTATAAGTAGGGTAATTCTAGTTATAACCCATATGAGGGGACTTGTAACCCCACTTACAACTACCCATGAACCTCCAAGTAGACTCTGAGCTGTCTGGTCGAAGCGCATTTCGTAGCTTGACAAACGCACGGGCATTTTGCGCAGCTTGTGGGCCTGTCGCGTCGGCGAGTCGTTGTCTTTCCTGGCACAGGACCGTCGCGAAGTCTCCCAAGCCCCTTCTTTTTGACAGCAAAATGCGCACGCGCCCTGGAACTCGAAAGTCCGAGACCCAGCTCGCTCAGACCCCCCAAAAAAACAAAAGCAGGAAAACAAAGCTCCGAAGAGCTGTGACCCTCAAATCCTCAGGCCCCCGTAGTTTGGCGCTCTTTCAAGTTCGGTTTCAACGATGTACTCGCCCAAGCAAGCCGCACTAGTGACTAGTGCCGAAGCCCGAAGAGTTTTTTTTTCACAATTCTTCCGCAGGGCTCCTTCACATAAGTATGGACCAGAATTATACCCCCTGGGCCTTTATGGAACCCCCCTTAGAAAAAGCCTTACATTCTCAGACGGAAGGCCCCCCCTACTTAGAGGCCCCCCTGAGCACTTAGTAGCCCTGCCGAGGCCGTGAAGTCGCTGAAGGCCGGACGCGGGCTTCCAAAGGAAAAGCTCCCAGTGGTCAAATTTAGGGCCTTAATGATTGGGATAGGGTTTACTCCCGTTATAATAAGGAACCCCAAAACCCCATTCTAATAAGCTCCCAGTGGTCTACTTGGATGTTCATGGGTAGCTATAAGTGGGGGTACAAGTCCCGCAATAACAATGTGGGCTATAACTATAGCTACCTTACTTATAGCCCCACTTATAACTACCCATGAAACCCCCAAGTAGGCTTACTTGGGGTTTCTTGGGGTTTAAGTTGAAAGAGTCCTAGAATGCTTAAGACTTCTCTCTGCCTAACTCCAAAGCCTTACACTTACATGTAAAGCACATTTTCAGGGGTTTGTGGGCGTTGATAAATGCAGCCTCCTACAGTTATGCTATAAAATATAAACCACAAACCTACTCAAATTATTGAGGCCCCTATCTTAAATCGCTCAAGGCACCGGCCATTTGGTGCTGAGGAAAGATGTTCGTTGATGGTCTTAAGGCTTCGAGAATATACATATACATATATAGAATTCGGGGTCATGGGGCGCTTCATGCGTTGCGCAGGGGCTCCGGTCCGGAGTTTCAGGGTCTTCGAGGATTCACAAGAATTTTCGGAGTTTAGGGCTGATATGATATGGGCCTGGTAGGGTTTAGAGTTAGGGGGCGTTGGGCTGAGGGTGTAAAGCTTGGTGATTCTGTCCGATATGGGGTTTAGGAAGTGAGATTTCGGTGGTTTTCAATGCCAGGCTATACACCCGTGGCCTAATGACAGCTTTCAACTTCATTCAAGACTCTACTTGCTGATTGTCCCCTAGACTAAACCCTAAACCAGCTTTTCACAGGATGAGGACGAAGAGGAGGGCGACAGCGAGAGGCCACAAATTTCGGGGCTGGTCTGCTTGCCGAGCTGGAGGTAGAAGCGTTTCTTTATCATCCAGACCCCTTCAAGGATTCCAAACAATAAGACCTCTGAACACGTCCTTGTCTTAAACACTGCTCCGCACCCATATCACTGCAGGATAACTTGTTGGTGGTAACGCTTGATCCTTGGAGGCACCTCGCCCCAAAAAACTTGTAGATCGACAGGAAGGCAGGTTTGACCGTGTCAGTATGCCCCGGTTGAAAGAGCAATTTTTTGCTTGAAAGGACTCGCTCTTCCAAGATGCAGCAAGATTCCTTCAGTCATCGCAAGAAACCCGCAAAGCAGCGGTATGCTCCTAGGGTCAGTCCTGAATGAAGATACCTTGTTGGGCAGTGCATGGGGGGGGTTTTAGCCTTGGTGTGAGTTCTGAGGATCTGCGCTGTTTGCCTTGCGGCTTAGGGCTCCCGGGTTGGGATTTTGTGCTTCAGAGGGCTGGGGCTCCTTAAGGCTTAAGGCTTCAGCATTGAAATCTCTGTTGGAATTAACGTCCACAAGGGTTCCTTCAAGGGTTCTATAAGGGCTCTAGGGCTTATCGCTACCATGACCAACTTTATCGGTACTGATGTTCCCATGAGCATGCACATCGCATCCAGAAGTCGGGCGTACATTGGGGTCTTGACGAAGCCTAAACCCTAAACCCGCCCCTAAGCCCTAAACCCCAAAAGCCCTAAAAGCCCTAAACCCTAAGCCCTAAGGCAGGTAGTGGTCCATTCTGGACGAAACTGCGCCTACTGCAGGCCGAAGACCGCCAACGAGAAAGAGCTAGAGGAGCTGAAGGCAACGACGGCTTCCTGGCGGAATGGGACGGTCTTCTGCGCAGTTCTCTAAATCAGGGTCCGTTTTAGGGTCCTTTCTCCCCGAGACTTCCTAATCCTTGAAGTCAGTCTCTTATAGTTCCTTGAATCCGTCTTCTTATAGTCCCTTTTTAATCCGTCTTTTGTCGTTCCTTTTTAGTCGGAGTTCCTTTAGTCGGTCTCTTGCAGCTCCTTTTCGTGGGAGCCCTGAGGAAACCCCCGGGTCTCCTACAGAGCTCTGAGGCCGAAGCGGTTCCTCTGGGACCGATTGTGGCCACTTCCCGGACGCTGGACCAGGTGCCATGCGTGAGGGGTTGTTGGGGGTTTTGGATGGTTTTTGGGGGTTTTGGTGTTCTGGGTGGTTTTTGGGGTTTTGAAGGTTTTGGGGTAGAGGGGTTTAGGGGCTTTTGGGGTGTTGGGGTTCAAGGGGTGTTTGGGGGTTTAGTGGGTTTTTGGGTTTAGGAGGAGGTCTTGGAATTGGAGTTCCAAGGGAGGCGGTTTGGGGATGTAGGACTTGGGGGCTTAGTAGGGTGTAGGAAGAGGTTCTTCCGGGGTAAACGGTTAAAGTTCAGGGAGCTCTGAATCTTAAGACCCTAAACCCTAAACCTTAAGATCCTTCACATAGAGGCCTCAAGAAGTACAGCCATCACTCTCCGGTTCTACTTGCAGTAGACGTATACGATACCCCAAGCCCCAATTCTAATTAATGAGGCCCCTATGTTAAACCATTCTGGTAAGACCCTCAAAAAGCCCTTAGAGGAACCCTACAAATCAGGACGGCTGTTCTCAGAGTCAGCTTCTATTTTGTGACAGCTTAACCCTTCCAGGCACCTACTATATAGGGTACTAGAGCTTCTAGGGCCCTACATAGTAGGTACCTGGAGGGTTGGGGCAGCTCGGGTCTCGGGCATCAGCGGCTCGGCAGATTTCGGAAGTGCCGGGGCATGAGTTTCAGCTCTGGGCTTCCACAGAAAACCCCAAACCCTACATCGCAGGCATCCTTATCACATGGAATCCCTACCGGATGGTGATAAGCCTTTTGCAATATTTCGTAATCGAAGACCGGAGCAAAGCTGCCTAAAGCAAAACCGCGAAATAAGAAGATCCCAAAGCCTAAACCCTCTGAACCCCAAAGAATGAGCCTAAGTAAGTTTAGGGGTTTAGGGTTTTGGGGTTTAGGGCTTAGGGTTTCCAAAAGCCGCCCTCTCTCTTCTTTCCTTGCAGGCAAAAGCTGTCATGAGTTTCGTGGACGCGATCTCGGAGAAGAGCTTGAACCGAACGTGCCTTGGACCTTCCTCGGGCGCTTTTATGGGGCTCATATTACAGTATGTTTACGGTATGTTACAGTACCTCTGGGGATTTCTACGATAGATTTGTGTTCAGAAGACCCCCACCTGGGTGGTGTTGGGGTTTTTGGATTTCTGGAGGTTTTGGAAGCAACTGGGGGTTGCATACGGGCTAACAGGGGCTAACAGGGTTGTTACGGGGGGGGGATATAGTGGTAAGCGGGGGCGTGCTTTAGGGTTTTTTCGTGTGGGCTGAAGGTTTGACAACTAGTTGGCTGGATTTCGGAGCTGGCAACCTATAGACCCTAAAACCTGCAAAGCTTCTGGCAATCGCAAAGTCACTTATGACGAAAAGCCTTGCAAGCAGAACCGACTACGTGCTCCTCTTCTCTCCAAGCAAGGATGGCGCTGACTGCAGCGCGCGGCCGTGGCAAGTGTTGTGGCGGCAGGGAGAAGTAGGTGGTGTCTCTGCAGGATTTCACGAGCCAACTTTCGGGATTACTGTAGAACTGCAGGTAGAATGCTTGCAGTTTTACCTTGTGCGAAAGGACTGTGTAGAACCCATATTCATGGGCTTTGAGTGGGTCTTACACTGCTTCACAAGCGGATAGGTTTTTTGAAGAGGGTTTAAAGGATGATTTTGGGTGGGCATTTTGCAAGTTGGAGTTCGCACAGGTCCCACGTGTTGCATGTCGAACAATCGATTTGAAGGCGATTGCATTCAGGTTTGAGGATTTACCTAGACCGCCAAAGTACACACACTGGCCGCCGTTCGTTGAGATTGAAAGTAATGTTCATGCTTCGGCCTGGAAAGTGTATACGTATGCGTACTTTACGCTTGCTCTTTGGTTCTCGAATCGTGAAAGCCCCTATACTATACCCTGTATAGTAACCCTTATAGAGCCCCATTTAAAGGACCCTTTCTCTACCACCCTTCATAGTAACCCCCTCAACGAGCCCCTTTAAAGGACCCTTTTTCCTTTTGAAGGACCTAACCCTCAACCCCCGCCCTAACCCTAAAACCCTAAAGCCCTCAACCCTAAAACCTTAAAGCCCTATAAACCCTAAACCCTAAACTTTGGGCCACGAGTGGACAAAATCCGCTCAGGTCAGCAGCCCTTGGCCTGGCCATCTCGGCGGCCGTGGCCTACGGCTACTCCAACATCTTCGTGACGGCAAAAAGGGGGGAGGGGGCTTCAAGGGATCCTTTAAGCAGTTTCGGCACCTAGGTTACCCACACGAGTCGTATTGCCTGCAGTCTCCGGTCCATGCTGAAATCTGCTCAGGGTTTGCAGGCTTACAGTTGGAGCAGAAGTCATCGTGGTGCTAGCTAATGTTAAGCGCGAATTACTGGGGTTTCATGGACGGGAAACACTCGGTTTTGGAATGTCAAGTAGTACATAGTCGCCGCAATAGTTGTAGCAATTCTCGGCTACACGGATATTGCTGCTCTTGGATGATACACCACCCGGGTACCTAGACAGACAAATACTCCTAAATGATCGAATGTACTGTGAATGATTGATGAATGGGATTCTTAATACGATGACTTACGTAATTATGTTCCTGATTGAAGAGGGTGTTTTCCAGAGGCAGCGACTTTTCAGGACCCCCGCTAAGCACGTACAGCGCCTTGGAACCAACTGTTTGGCCTTGCTTGTGGACTTGGCTTCGGCCGGCCCCAGCTGTGAGATGGGAGTGGTTTCTTTTGTTCTTAGAAGACTCCCGAACAGCATAGACAAGTCAAGTCCATATGGCCTGTCGAGCAATGTCTTCAACGCTTCGTTGTCCTAGAACTCCTCTTCGGAAGCGAGGGTAAGGAATATATGGATGCGCGCTGTGCGTTCCGGGCACCCCACCCCGTACCCCACCCGCCCTGCCCCGCAAAGGCATCCCTCCAAATACAACGCTCAGGCCCTAAAGCCCGAAAAAGCCAGAAAACCCTCAACCAGGAAGCCGACAAGCTTGACCTAAATCCTAAAGCCTAAACCCCAATCCCTGAAACCCTACCCAAAAATATCCACTGAAAGCCCCGGGGAGGCTCCATCCCCGGAGAATCTGAGCACCGTCTTCGAGTTCATACTCAAGGGCTTCGATGCTCTGGGCATGAAGGAGACTGCCCCCACTAGTAGAAGGATTTGAGTTTTTTTTTTGGGGGGGGAGGGGGGGTGTGTTACTAAACCGTCAACCCTAAAACCCATACGATTTGTGGATTCGGGCTTTTGGGCTTTTGGGATGCGGGGATCAGGGTTCGGGCGATGAAGCTGTGAGGGGTCTTTTACAAGCGCGATGTATGGGGTCACATTACGGGTTGAGGGTGGGGTTCTCTGAGGGTTGGTGTTGGCTTCCAAAGTTAGGCGCTGTGGTTTTGGGAGGCTGTCACGAGGCTATGTGAGGTTCTATAAGTTGCACGGGTTTCTTAAGCGGCTTGGCAGTGGCTTTAGGGGGTTTCTGTAAGGGTTTCACAAGGCTTTTAGATGGGACTTATGGCGCTCTGCCGGTTTATGTTACTCTTCTAGCTGGGGTTGTTGGGCGGTTGTTCAAAGTAGCAGCAGTAAGGATCAGAAACTTGTGCGCTTGAATGCCTCAAAACCTCAGATGTTAGGGCTGGTGAGGGCTCTATACAGGGTCGAGCTTACGGCTTTTCAATTGAGACAACCCGTGCGGCGCCAGGAGCATCAGGAGTATGAGCTGGTACAAGCAGAGAACCCTGAGCTCAACAAGGCCTCCAGGATTTAAGAACTGTCGAGGGTTCCCCAAGGCTGCAAGGGTGCAAGGACCTGGGAATCAAAGGATTGAAGAAGTGCTTTTTTCAACATGGGGTCCGTTGGATAAAGGGCTTGCTACTGTTCGGAATCCTCCCACATGAATTGGAGGCCTTGATGTACGAATATGACATGGGATTTCGCATCGTTCCAATCTTGAAAGCATAGGTTGGGCGTCGCGGGGTCACCACCTCCGAATCGTAGCATTAGAAACCAAAACCCGCGCCTAACTATTCAGACCGCTGTACCATACCGTTGTAGTACCCCTCGAAAGTCTCGAAAGGAGACTAATTATTCAGCGCCCTGTATATTTAGGGATGTTTTTTTGGGGGCCAAGGTAGGCCGCAGATGAGGATCCCTTAACACACGGTGCTTCTTGAAATGCTAAGGCCCGTACGCTATGGGTCCTTATGACATCAGGATCCTACTTATGAGATGGGTTATGCTCGAGTCTTAGGGTTCAGGATTCCTTTAAGCTTAGGGTTCAGGATTCCTTTAAGGTTATGGTTCAGGATTCCTTTAAGGTTATCGTAAGGGTTAGTTCATGCTCTGTGGGGTCTATATTGGCTTCCTGTGTTTTCTGAAACTCCCACCTTCTCCAGCGGCGTGTCATTGTGGAGACTGTACCGGGAAACTTGATGTTGCACTTTGATGTCTGGTGCTCCTGCTTCCTCGCTAGGGATGAAGCCAATGCCGTGTTTGAACCAACACAGGCACACAGAAGCAAGAGAACTTTACCCCTATACTATAAGCCCCGAAGAACCCTAAACCCCAAACCCCAAAAAAACAGAATGCTTTAAGCTCCCGGTCCTAGATATTGAAAAAAACCCCCGAGCTTGAAAGGGTTTTAGGGCCATTTTAGGGTTTAGGGTTTTAGGGTGTAGGTTCAGGGCTTTAGGGTTTAAGGGTTTAGGGTTTTAGGGTGAAGCTCATGCTGGAGGCGCTGGTCCGGGTAAACATCTTCAAGGACGGCGGACTGCTTGGAGGTTTGCATGGTCCCAGAAATCAAGACTGCCATCCTCCCGTGCTCCCGCTTTTGGTGGGGTTGCAGTAAGGCTTCAGGGTGTTAATGTATAGCATAACTATTATCAAAGAACCTCCAAAATCCTACTCTAATCATGAAGGCCCCTACATTATGGGTTTCGGGTAATTCGGGCGGCCCATGGCATGGTCCGCGCCGAGTGGTGGAGGGTGTCAGGCTCAGGGTTCTGGCTTGAAGTTGCTGCGAGCACGTACTTTTAAAGGGAAGCAAAACTCAAGATATGGGTATGGCTCTGGATTTTATGGTTTACTCGGGTGAATAGGGCCACAGAAAAGGTCGCCTGGAGACCTGGCAAGCGATAGTCGAGCATTTTTTGACAAAATTGTCCACAATAACCCGTTTGGAAAGCAGGATGCTTTGGCTTCAGCGTATAATTTCCTCAGAAAGTAGGACGGGGATTGTTTTTCCGTGTCCAGGCTGGGTTGCACCTGGAAGCTTGGAAGAAGCTTCTTGCGAACTCAATGGCGGCCACAAGAAGGAGGCAGACATGGCGGTGACGCTCACCTACCGCCCAAAGACGGGAAAAACATCCTGTCTGTGGTCTGCGGTGGGATGCAAAGCATGAACACCAGCAGTCTCGCATGCCACATCCAGGCGATTGGGCCAGGCCCCAACTCACCAGGGACATCATCGCCGGCCTGGAGGTGCGACCTGGGTAAGTTCTAGCCTCCATGCATCCAACCCGGCCAGATGTGGCACAAAGGGAGCCGCTTTCTATAGCATCACCGCACACCGAATAGAATTGCTGAACAGGTCGGTCATAGAACACAAGGTCGCAAGATCAAGCCGGATAGAACGTTTGTGCTTCGCATGCTACTTGTAAGCGCATTGTGCAGGGCACATTCCCGTTCACTGACACCCGTCCAGCGCCCCCCTCGCCCACACCAAGCACATCGGCCACGCCTCAGCAAACGCAGTGACGCCACATAAATATCCCTGCCCCCCACACATCCACACCCTTGTTCTCGTGCCTGCTCTTGACGTCGCCATGTGCGTCCTCGCGTCAGAACACGGCAAGAGGATTAATGCTCAACATCCCGACCCGCCCACTTGCCCCAGCCCGCGTGCCCCTCTCCTTGCAACCACAGATATCTCAGCGATCGCGGTGGGCCCAGCACTTCGACCTTAAGCCCTGCAATGGTGCTGCTGGCTGAGACGCCCCTTTTCACGACCTACTGGCCCCTGTCTCCGAAAACAAGAAGGAACCAATTTCTCAAGTGAGTTCGTTCTCCATGGCGCCAACAACTTTGTTCTTGGGGTTTTGCGGGATTTCTCCAAGACTGTTGCGCGTGAGCACAAGTGCTGAGCCCTCGCAGATTGCACAAGCTAGGTGCTGCTGTGCTCGTGCATTGTCTTTGCCCTTTGGATACAGTGCCGCGCTACATCCACGCGCAGGTGTCCCAAAACGAGTGTTCTTCAAGCTGAATATCAAGCAAGTGCTCGCGGCCCGAAACGTTGTAAGCAAATTCCAAACCACTCAGACGGAAGCCCCAGAGCTCCTAAGCCGAAACCTCCTAAAGTCGCAGGATCACCGCCAGACCGTCCAGTACATCAGTCCTTCCGATTGGCAGCACTTAGCACAGGCGGGAGGGTTTACAGTTTGGGGCCCCGATGCATAAACCGTCGGGAGGTCTAGGTTGATGCCGCTTGCTGGCTGAGGTGGTGTCTTACGGCTTGGGGTTCACGCATTGGGGTCCCCCGTAGTTTATTGTTCTGGGGTTCTGCGGGATTTTCAAAGTGCAGGTTGAGGTTTTCGTCACCTACGATGCGGGAACCCTGTAACGAAGTTCGTTTCTTCCTGCAGGATGCTTCTGGAAGTTGAACGTAGCATTCTTAGTGTAAGCACCCAGGAACTTTAAACTTTAGAAGCCAACCTGCCAAAATGAAGCCGTAAATAGGCTGATTAAGCCTTGCACTAGAGGCCAGTAACCATTGAAACCCGTCAAGCCTGCTAAAACACACCAACAAGCCCTGAAACCTTAAACGTGAGTTCGAAAACCCCCAATAAGATTCCAAATTAAGTAGTCAGGCTCAAAATCAAGGAAGTATAATTCGAAACCACAGTATATTTCGAAACCATCCCACAGAAGAAAATGAATGCTAACACTTAAGAAGTTATTCAGTGGCGAGCACAGGCCGAGTTGTTGGTGGTTGACGAAGCTGCAGCCATTCCGCGACCGGACTTCGTCAGTTTTGGATTCCTTTGGAGGGCTCTCTTAAGGGTGTTTGCGTCAGTTACGATGAAGCCGTGCTAGGGCTTTAGGGTCAGTTGAGGGCTTGAGGTTATGTATAATGATTTGGATTTGGGGTTTTAAGGTTTGAAGTTCAAGCAGAGGGAGGAAGTGTTCTTTCAGGTTTTTCGGTGTTTCTTGGTCTTCTTTACTCTGAGTAGTCCCGGATTGTTGGGGTAAGCCAGACTAAGATCCCGATTGTATTTAAGGCAAGAGGAAAACAGCTCTGTGAAGTCAAGAAGAAGAAGCAAGCCCTCATTACAAACAGTTCTTTTCTGTCCCAAGCTTTGATAAAATGCGAATTGCGACGTTCCTTACCTGAGGCCTTGTTTTCGAAGAAGAAACACGCAGTCATCAGAAAGATTTTGTTGCATTTGGTTCATCTGGCTCTAGGAGTTGAGAGTTTTACCTAGCAGTAGGGTAGGCAACCTTTCACCTTTTTGGGGTACTATACTCCCAACATACCCCCAAAGGTTAAAGCGTCTGGACGAGTAGGTTCAGGGTGTTAAGCTTTAGGGGAAGAGGGTTGACAGTTTGGGGCCTTTCAGAACTTATTCTAGGACATTTTCAGGTGGGTAGTTAGGAGCCATATAGAAGGTCTATATACCTTATAGAAGCCCTATATACCCTAAACTCCCCACCTGTACTTTCCTTTAACTCATGGCTCATAGGACCCTAAAGTCCCCAAACCTGAAACTATAGAAAACCCGATTACGAGCGTCAAAACACCGAAACACGGCAACAAACGAACGCTTCAACAACCGTAAGAAACAATAAGGAAGCTGCGACACACCACAGCTACATACAGCCATGGACCGTGGCTACGACAAATCACAAGAAAACATCAAAGTAAGTACAGTATAGAGTATAGAGTATAGAGTATAGAGTATGTAATATATAGTACATATGACGCAGTTTAAGAAACCCTGCAAAGCCCAGGCTGCCGATTGTGAAAAAGCTGCTCGGGTGCCGAACTCAACGCAAGAGGGACCCTCCGGAAAGCTTGGTTTTCGTTGTTCACAGTTTAGGGGTTCAGGCGTTAAGGTTTTGGATTTTTGTCCAGACGGTTGGCGGGAGCTTCTTTTCTAAGTCTGCCCAGAGGATGACGGACTTAGAGGAGTCTTTGCTGTATTGTGGGCAGAGGACATCTTCCTTCTGACAAGCTTGCGTTTTCACCCGTTGTGGAAATCCTTGTGGGACCCTCAAAAGCTCCATGCTTTCTTCGTTACCCCTAAACCCTAAACTCCATAGAACCCTAAACCCCATGGAAGCCATAGGGTCTTGAGCGTTTGCAATGCTCGCCGATGATGCGACTCTCTTAGCAGGCGCTTCGTACCCGGGGCAATTGTCTTCAAGCATTTCTATACAAAACGGAGAGATACAGTGAATATAGGGTTTAGGGTTCAGGGCTACCTCTTTATCCGAAGATGTTACTGAAGCAGAAGCATCGGGTGGCACAGCCACCACAGCAGCTACTCTGATGAGTTTGTGGTGTCCTCATCTAGGCCGAGTTTCGTGCTGGCCACTACCTGCCCCATAGTCCACGTGAGCTGGCGTCAAACATGATTTACTCATACCTCCCAGCACCTCCAGCAGATCAACGGCTTAAGCCTAAAACCCGAAAACATGAGCCTTACACCCCGGGAACCCCAGGCCCCAGGAACCCTACACCACCTACGCCGTGTTAGGACTCTCACAAACAAAACGGCGCCCCCGAAAAACCGAAACCGAACTGGCGATGAGCATCCTTTCTCGTGCAGAGCGAAAGCATCCTCCGCCCCAGGCCCTATCCAATATCTCATTTCTAGCAATCTACAGTTTTATACAAAGTGTGCTGTACCATTGTATTATGTATCTTGTATATACTAAACCCTAAACCCCCAAAAATTATATGCATATATACATATATATATATATATACGTATACATATACGTATACATATACGTATACATAGACATAGACATATACACATACACATACACATACATATACATGTACATATACATATACATATACATATACATAAACATATACATATACATATACATAGACATAGACATAGACAGAAACATATACACATACACATACACATACGTATACGCATACGTATACATATACATATATATATATAAAATAAAGATGTATTCCATATTCTAAACCTCAGCCCCAGGCCTTACCTGGTCCTCCTGGCGTCCACGGTGAATGGCTACGAAGGACCGAAGGGTCGAAGTGGCTTCCTAGAGTCAACGTGGTACCCTTAGCATCAAAACTGCCCAAAACCCTAAAGCCCTGAACCCCTAAACCCTCAACCTAAGGACCATAAGAGCTCTATTAAAGGGTACTTGCCCTTAGCATCAAATTAGCCCAAGGGCCTTATATAATAGGGGTCTTTGGGGGCCCAAAAGCCTTAAAGGATGAGTCCTTTGAGGGTAAGGGGTATATAGAAGCCTGAGGATTTATTCACACTACCCCTGACAGGGTTCCTGCTCTATTTTGCAGCACAGTGTACCCCAAGGTCGGGGTTCAGGTCTGTTTAACGCGAAAGTTGGGGGTTAGGTGTTCCTACAAACTAGGTCTGTTGTTTGGATGCAGGTTGCAGGTTCATTGTTTCGCGTTAAACGATATCGCTTTCGGTTTCTAGTTTTGGTGGATTATGCCCCTTGTTTGTCGAAGGGATTTCCAGTGTCGCTTCCACTCGGAAGTAAGATGGGCCAATATACATGTGGGCTGGAATCGGTTTGGGTTTGTATTTTGGGGCTTTGCGCTTGTCGTACATACCTGCATACATATGTATACACACACACACGCACATGTGTATATATATGCATCGAAAAACGTATATACGTATGCCTGCATATACACATATGTAAACGGGCTACTCTAGGGTTATGGTTTTGGGGTTTCGGGTGCTGTGCTTTTTGTTCTGGGTTCAAAGAGTCTTGGTCTCCATTCTGACGGAGCAAGTTCACACCGCCTTCTCACACAGGCCCAAACCCCAAAAGGCTAAACCCTCATCCCTTACTGCTAAACTCTGAGCCCCTTCCGTGGCCTCATTCGCTTGAGCATAGTCCTCGGCCAGGTCGGTGTGGAAGTAAGGAGCCCAGAGAGCCCAATACCCTTCAATTAAGGAATATACCTCAAACCAATATTAAGGCCCCTATACTTTAACGTATATTCCTTAATTAAGGGGTATTGGGCTCTCTGGGTAGGTCGGAAGATTGCGGCTCCACGCACATTCCTCTTCTGAGACTCAGCTGTGGATGTCGGCGATGTCGACCTAGACCGAGGTGTGGTGACAGGGAGGCCAGATGGAAGAAGTTTTCTTGCGCTATGCATCTGTAGAGGCAGCGACCTCTTCAAACCGATGATGCCTTCCAACAGCTGGAGCAGATGGCGTGCACTGGCATATGTGGCCGCACTGACAGCCTAAACCCTAAAAACCCTAGGAACCCCAGGAACCCTAAACCCCAAAAGCCCTAGGAACCCTAAACCTTAAAAGCCCTAACAACCCTACCCTAAGCCAAGAGATGTCATCCGGCTGTTCACTCCTGAGCCCCCAACCGCCAACGCCCGAAGCCACCGAAGCCCAAAGAACCCCAAACCTTTAAAGGTGCTTGAAATGTTGTCAAGGTTTAGGGTTTTAGGGTTTTGGGTTTAGGGTTAAGACTGAAGCAATCCCCCAAGAGTTAAAGGCCGAATGAAAGAAGACCCCCAAGAGCCCAAATGGAGGCAATATAGGGGCCTGAAGAACTACTACCACGCCATTTCTTTTGGGGTTCCTTACTATAACTCTAGTATGATATCTCGCGAAGCCTCATTCTAATTGTTAGCAAAAGCCCTGAACTACTACCACGCTATTCCTTTTTTGGTTCCGTATTATAACTATAGTATGATATCTCCCGAAACCCTATTCTAACTGTTAAAGGTGGCTTACTGTCGTGATCCTGCGTTATCCTTAACCCGCAGAAGAGCAACTTGAGAGCAGGCACCGGCCGAGCCTTGTCCTTGAAGCTGATCGAGGACCTGGGATCCATCGTTGCCTTGGGGTTTCTAGGGTTTCAGGGGATCTAGTTCAACTTTGTGTTTCGGTTTCTAGAGATCTATTTACCGGATTTGTTAAGGTTTTGTGTTTGTTCGGGCGTTGTTGTATTGGTCCCTGACAAGTGCGGGAGTGTGGGTTGCAGTTCCTGCCAGGCGCACTTGCATGTGCCAGCGTGGCTGGGGCACGCGTCGGTCCCTTTTTTCAGAGCTCTGCCCGTTCGAAAGCCCCAATCATGAGCTCAACTATATTGTCGTTGGCGCAACGCTCTGCCCAAAATCCTTCCACCCCACTGCTGCGACCTCTGGAGCATGGTCTGCTAAATCCCGTCAAGGATTTTTGAACCTCAGGCTGCCAAAAGCCTCCTAGCAGGGCCTTTTCTCTCGGGATGTGGCCCTGGAGTAGTCCAAGCCTGAGACGCTAGATCGTGCAACTTTACATCAAGAACCCCAAGGAGCCCAGAAAGAGCTGATGACGTAAATCCCACCTGGGGATTTCGTGTAAGAGTTTGCGGCTGAGGGCCGAATAGGATATCAAACCCCATTGGAGTTTGGCTCGTTTCGTCGTAAGGACGACTCGAGGAAGGAAGTATATTTTGACGTCGCCCTATGCAAGATTTGAGCAACTTGATCCCAAGAGCCGCATCCTAAGTATTGGTGTGGGGATCTAGCTTAGCATAAAGAACCGGCTTGCCCCTAGGTACGCACTTGGTAACCTTCGGGGTGCAAGATGGGGAAGCGGGACCCCCAATATGGACACACTGGACGCGAAATGTTAGGATCCCTTATTGCTTGGACCGCTAAGCAGGGGGCCCCTATGTCCCCGCGTTGTTAGCATATGGGCGGTAGGATGGTCCTACACATCCCAGACCCCAAACCCCAAGGCCGGAGTAGAACAACACTACATGCCGTAGTTTACGGCAAGCCAGCCAAACCAGCAGCCAGTAGCACAGTACTTGCACGCAAGTATCTGGGGGAATGTGCCAGTGGTCAGGTTGTTGGATCCTGAGGCTCGGGGAAATTCGAGGGTTCGAGACTGCCACATTTGGATCAACCACGATGCATCCTACAGCAATTACGAAAGCTGGTTTGTTCCCTTCTCGTGGACACATGTCCTTGGAAGGATCTGAAAGCCGGGAAGGGCGTCGGCAGCGCCAAGAAAGGCAGGGTCGGAATCCCGAGCCCTGAACCTAAGCCAAGGACTGAACCCGTTCATAAGATCAGCATGGGTCAAAAGAGTTTCCTGCCAGGGAAGGATTTGCGTACTTATTGCGGGCACTAGTGTATATGGGTAACGATATCCAACATAAGGATACCTACCAGCACGCCTACGTTGAACTGGGTGGTGTGCCACGACGTTTGAGGCCTCGCTGCGGCCGCGCAGTGCGGCCAGGATCCTTGCTGTCAGGAGACACGCCCTTAAGGCCAAGGTGGCCGTCTTGCCTGTGTTGAAGCAGGAGGATTCCAGGGCGAGGGTCACTACCATCCTGGAGGAAAGTTGGCATCGATGAATTACCCTGCCCCGGGACTGTCTGCCGAGGACGTGTGTCTGGTGTGGCGGAACGTGAGATCTGCAGACTTCAATTAATCAAAGAGGAGCACTTGCCGATTGTGTCTTGTGGCCGCTGGACAACCTTCCCACATCTTCAAGATAACGAGGACATGTGTTCCCGTCTGCCCTCGAAATCGAAGCCTACACTGGTTTGACTGTTCTCCGCTAAGATGCTCTGGCAACTTTGAGATAGAAACGCCCCAGCCCCTTTCAGGAGAGGGTGGCCTACACTTCCCCGGCTTCGCCCCTTCATCTGGATAAACAACGAGTCCCGATATCCTCATGCCGGTTCAGGGAGGCAGTCTGCTTGTTCGTAGCTCCACAGTGGGTTCATATCAGCATTTCCGAAGGCTGTCGAATTCAACTTAGAGGTCTTAAGCCACAGCTAAACCCCAAGCCCTACACCAGAACTTCTGAAACGCTGGAAGATGCTAGCGTGAGGCTTTAATGCTGCCCCCGCTCAGCCCACTTAGCAAGATTACGTCGTGCCCTCTTGTTTGGGTAGTTCTGCATGTCAGGGTCCCCTTTTAGAGTGACGCTCTCTTTTGGGACCGAACATCAGGGATCTCTTAGGTAGACGGATCCTGACTACAACGGATTCTTGGTGAGGCCACTGTATGGACTATATAGGCATGCGGGTCCTGCGAGAAAGCGGCCGGATCTCTTCAGCAGAAGCCTCTATCGAAACCTGACCCTAAACCCTAAACCCTGAAACAGAAGCCAAAGACAGAAGCTGAGGAAGGATTCAAGCCCATAAAAGCCATTAGGGCATTAGGGTTGAGGGCTACTAAACTTTTTAAATCCCCCAAAAAAGCTTAATTCTTGACTATTTCGACCATAAATCCCACGAAACTCCTCCTAAACACCCTGTAACCCTGAAAGCCCCTCCATTCTTGTCTCCTTTGCCCAGGGCCCTCCAGCGACCGAACCTTGCGAGAGCTGTCCTTGGAGGCAAGGTTTTTTGTTGTTCCGTCTCTAGGTTAGTTACGATTTGGGTGGGTTGTTGATCATGTTAGAGGTGTTTTGTCAAAGCAGTTCTACTGCTTTTTTCATCGGTTGTTGCAATGAGTATTACTACTATTCATTTCTCGTCTGCGACGTTTGTCTAGTCAGGGTTTGCCGGTTCTGTTTGAGGGCGGGTGTAGGGTTTAGGGTTTAGGGGAAGGGTAGCTGATTTGTGACATCGGTTTGTCCCATCCAAATGCTCGGGGTGATTTCATTTACAGCCAGGCCAGGGCGGCTAGGGGCGTTGTTTAGTCTTGTGCTTAGTTGCCGATAACACGTCTTGTAATCGGAACCTATAGCTGTTATCATCAAACACTACATCTCGGGGGGCTGGAGCTAGAAAACAAGCCCGGAAGGGATTTGCAACGGCACGTTTGCTCTCAGTGAATGGGCGATGTTTTTGCGCAAAAGCCCCGAGTTCCCCCGTATTGCCACAACAGACTAGACTGGTAGATGTATCTTTTTCTGAGCTTCCTCCAAGCAAGGAGCCGATCCGCTACGCGCCTGGGGATCCCGTTGAGGCACCGCTGCTTGGTAGCTCAAGGTGTCATGGCCTTGAGCGTTTAGGGCTTTTGGGGCTTCCGGGATTTACAAGAAAGAAGTGGGGTTTGCAGGAGTAGGATTTAGGGCTAGTGAGTTCTGTAATTGGTTTTAGGTTCCTTTGTTGCGGTGAAGGCTATTGGGCTGGAGGTGTTTCTCCAGAGTCATGTAGTTTTTCGAGTGGTGAGGGGCTGAACTAGCTTTTCCAATGTTGACGTGACGTTGCGAGGCTTCTGGTTCTTGTGATGTTTCTTTACATGCAGTGTTTCGGGTTTGGAAAGTCTGGAAGAAGCATGGGGTTTACCTGGCAGATCATACCCTTCCCTTCTTCGAGGTTACCAAAGATAGCGAAGAGAGCAACCATGAAGTAAGATTTCCAAACTGGGCGCAATGTTCTTTGTATGACTCTGTGGGAAGCCTTAAGGTGTTGGGGTCTGAATGAATGTATTTGGGAGCTTTGAAAGCTTCACGGAGTTTGCTGAGGGCCAAAGGATTTTGGGTATGGGGCTGAGGCTTTGGAATTCAGGATTTAGGGTTTAGCATTTCAGTCGTTAGTTGTCCTTCTGAGGATTAGGTGCTTGGGTTTAGGGTTGGTGTCAAGATTACGTATGTCATAGCCGTTATCATCACGCAGATATTGTCCACAAGACATTGGCGCTCCAGCCCGAAATCGCCCTAGGCCCTAGATCCCAACCCTAGCCCTAGCATACAAAGCAACATGGTCTGGGGCTCATCCGATCGAACAACAACGACAAGAGCGTTGTTTGTTGCAGATCTCTTGCATTCTCTCAGTGGCGATGTATTAAGCACAGCAAGGGTCGTCATTCATCCCTTGCACCCATGCTTATCTACAACCACACCGCAATGTGACATCACACATAGCAGCAGCTGCCTCTTCGCTCATTGCAGAATGCCTTTCGTTTTCGGCCAACAGGTACATTTGGATACGTACAGCTACTTCCACACGTGATGTAGTCCGCATTCCTATGAATCTGTTGAACCTTTGTGGCAAAAATCTTCAGGACTACAAGGGAACCGAACCCTAAGCCTCCACACCAAACCCCATGGCCTCAGTCTAGCGACATTGGGGTTTTCAAGGCTTGGACTGCATATGAGACGGTCGGCAAGCCTGACAAGCTTCATCAACCCGTTTAGGGCTTAGGGTTTAGAGTTTAGGGTTTAGGGTTTAGGCTCTTCGCTTATCCCTGTGAAACCTGTCCAAGAGTCACAAACCCTGGAAGGCTTTGCCAGCACGCCTAGCATATGTAATCATCTTAAACTACGGTGTGCCTTTCTCCGAGCTTTGATGTGTCGTCACTACATACATATACATATACATGTACAGATACAGATACAGATCCATATCCGTATCCATATCCATATACATGTATTTATATATATATATATATACACATACACCAACGCATGGAGCGAGACAGTGTGCCGATATCATGTGACATTACCTATAAATCCCTTGGCAGTCCTGGCTCGGGCGGCTACTTTGCCTGGACTCTGCGCAGGCCCTCACCCGCTGATCGGGTGCTTGGGTGCTGTTGAGATGATTTAGAACTTAGAGCAAAGGCTTCCTCGGAGATTTTGTGTCGGGGTGTGCTTGGAGCGAACCGGGATTTGACGGTGCAGGGGTTGACAGATGGGTTCTTGTTTGTTTCTGTCCCTCCACGTTCCTCTGGTCAACAGGGCTTGCGACTACAAAGGCCTTCAAACTCTAAACCGGCTCGAAACTCGAAAACGCAAATACCAAAAGGCGCCATGCGAGAACGCCACAGTACCTCCAGCACCGGGAGACTCTGGGGATTCCATAGGCAGACTTTGTTATTGTTATGTTCATGACTACCGGGTTTGCATTAGTTGTACCCGATTCACTGAGTCTTCAGCGTGTTCAGGTAATCTAAGTCTAGAACCTGGGAAACCTCATCAGCAGCCATATAAGAATCACTGCGAACATGTAGCACACAGACACAGAAACTGTACAGAACCTTTACAACAAGATACCCCTGCATAACAAGATACCCTTGTTGGAACAATGCCTGTTGAAGCCCAAACCTGACCTCTTAAACCTTTTAGGGTTTTGGGTTTTGGGATTACCCTTGAAGCCTGAAACCCCCAAAAGCCGCCAAAAGCATCAGAGCCGCGAAGCCTAAATGCCCTGTGACTAGAGATTAGGTTCTGAAGAACCTCGGGAAGATGGGTCCATTCATGACCTCATGACCCTGGTGGAACCCTTACTTCAGCAAGAACCCAAACCCTCATAAGGAAAAACCCTAAAGGCTAAAAAGCTCCTTATGACCCCCAAAAAACCGTTAAAAAAAAAACAGACAGCAAGCCTAAAGCCTAAGCCCCTAAACCCTAAACCCCTAAACCCTAAACCCTTAAAACGTTTCGATGAGGTTCCGAAGCTGCAGATGAGCTCATTGCCTTTGCCGGCCGAGTCGGAGCCCCAGGAGTGTCCTTCCCTTTTAAACTTAGGGTTTAGGGTTTAGGGCTTAGGGTTTAGGGTTTAGGGCTTAGGGTGTAGGGTTTGGGGCTTAGGGTTTAGGGTTAAGAAGAATACTTATAACACAAATACCCTTCTTGGACTAGAAAAAGGAAGGTACCATAAATAACGGAGCCATGAAAATGATGATAAAAAGGAAAACTAAAACTGTTCAGTACAATAGTAATGGTAGTGATGATGACAGCAGTCTCTTTTTTGACGATGTTACGTACCCTAACCAACCCAACCGTGAGGGTCTTGGGGGCTGGAATACAACGTCTTCTGAGGCCCCTGGGGTCCCTTTGGACCCTTGAGTGAGCCTGGGACCCAGACCTTCCAACATGCCTCAACTAAGGAATGGACCTTAAAATCATAGTATGATTTTCTAGCACGATTTAGGGTGTAGCCCATACTTCGGGGATGAAAGGAGCTGGGATAGAGTTTGCGTATGGGTTTTTGTAGATGGGGGCTCCTGAGGAGCATTGGCAAGTGCTTAGTGTCGCTGTCCTTTCGTGGTTCTAGAAACAAAAGCCCCTTACCTATTTCATGGGTTGTGAGAGTATGTAAAGAAC